TTTTTAATTGTAACAATTTAATCAATTAGCCAGCAAGATTTTTTTTTTTTTTTTTGTTTTGTTTTGAAAATCAATCAATCGAAAACAAAAACAAAACAAAAAAAAGAAGTTTTTACTTTTGTAAAAAAAAACAATTAATCAATGTTTTTGGATGATAAAGTAAAATTAAAGAAAATTTTACAACAAAAAAAAAAGTTATAAAATTACTTTTATTCCATTTGAGAATATAACTTGAGAATAAATCCAATAGATGGTGTTCGTTCCGGATAATATTCTGGATTGCTGAGGCGAAAAAAATTGTGTGTGTGTTTTGTTTGTTTGTGTTTTATGGTCATCATCGGACCATAAGTTTAATTTTAATTTTTTTTGTGGTTGTTCCAAAATGCTTCATACCGATGATTGTGATAAATTCAATAATTCGAATAATGTTAATGAATCTGATTCTTCTTCCGAAAATGATGACTATAATTTTGATATAACAAAAAAACGTAAATATAATGATGAATCCGATGATGGTCGTGTTCAAATCAATCTGGATAAAACACTTATACCAAAATCCAATGATAAAACAATTGGTTTAGCTTTTGATGGTGAAAAATCTGAACTTGAAGCACTTGGTATTGTTTCTTATCAACATTCCATTTATGAAGAAAAATTTGTTCATCAAATAGAAAAGAATGTTGATGAATTTGCTGAAAAACAACGTACACAAAATGATGTTTCAAACGATCAGCAATCAATTCAACAAAATGAAAAAGATGAATGTAGTCAAGAAGAAGAAGAAGAAGAAAATATTACTTCTATTGTGGATGACGATGATGAATTACCTACTGCTACTGATGATGGACCATCTTATGTGGATGATTTGAATGATTATTTTGATGATGATGTTGATAGATTTTTAGAGGCACCGGATGATTGTAATCTTGAAATATCACACAAAAAATGTGAAAAAATTGACAAATCAAAAGCTACGGAAAATGTACAACGAAATCGTATTCTAGATGATGGTGATATTATGATTTATCGTAAACGTATTGTTGCTTATGAAAATAATAACCGATTACAATCGAATGAAGAATTATATCAAATTAATCAAGATTTTTTTATACCTCAACGTATATGGGATCGTTTATTTGATTATCAACATGATGCAGTTAAATGGATGTGTGATTTACATTTAAAATTATGTGGAGGAATACTTGGTGATGAAATGGGTCTTGGTAAAACTGTTGAAGTAATTGCTTTTCTTGTTGCATTATCATTTTCTAAATCTTTTGAAGTAAGTGAATATTATAAATATCTTGGACCAGTATTGCTTGTATGTCCTGCAACGGTTATGTATCAATGGGTAAATGAATTTCATAAATGGTGGCCACCTTTTCGTGTTGCTGTTCTTCATCAAAGCGGTACATATAAAGATTCAAATCGTTCTAAATTGATAAATGATATAATCAAAACGAATGGCATATTGATCACATCATATAAAACACTTGTTTGTTTTCAAAAACATTTATTACCAAAAAATTGGCATTATGTTATATTGGATGAAGGTCATAAAATACGAAATCCAATTGCACAAGTAACTCAATGTTGTAAACTTGTAAGTTTTAATCTGAAAATTTTATCTTATTTAATTCATGTTTATGTATGACGTTTTTTTCCCCAAAAAAATACAGTTTGAAACTTGTCATCGATTAATATTATCCGGTACACCAATTCAAAATGATCTAACAGAATTATGGTCATTAATGAATTTTGTCTTTCCAAATAAACTTGGTACATTAGATTCATTTATGAATGGTTTAGGTATGGCTATCAAAAAAGGTGGTTATAGTCATGCATCTGAACAAGAAATACAAAATAGTTTTAATTGTTCAGTAATTTTACGTGATCTAATCAAACCATATCTACTTAGACGAACAAAAGATGAAATTAAAAATAATCTTTCATTACCACCGAAAAATGAACAAGTTTTGTTCTGTAAATTGACTGATATACAGAAAAAATACTATCAAGATTATATTAATTCTGAAGCATTTGCACGAATCGATATGCAAAAAGCATCTATATTTAAAGCATTAGTTAATATACGTAAAATTTGTAATCATCCATATTTGTTTTCAAAAGAATGTAGTCCAGATGGAAAATTTGATAAAGAATTTTTTAAAATGTCAAGTAAAATGGTTGTGGTAAATGCTTTACTTAAATTATGGTAAGTAATGGAAAAAAATTACGGTAACTCCGATACATTATTGATCATTTTCTGTTCTAATTTATTGATATATAGGCATAAACAAGGTCAAAAAGTTTTAATCTTTACACAGGGTAGACAAATGTTAAATTTATTGGAACGTTGGGTGATTAAGAAAAAATATGATTATTTTCGTATGGATGGTACAACAACAATAAATATGAGACAAAATTTAATTAAATCATTTAATGAAGATAAAACAAAATTTGTCTTTCTTTTGACTACACGTGTTGGTGGTGTTGGTGTTTCATTAACCGGTGCTAATCGTGTTATTATATTTGATCCTGATTGGAATCCATGTACAGATATACAAGCACGTGAACGTTGTTGGCGTATTGGACAAAAACGTGATGTTGTTATTTATCGTTTAATGACATCTGGTACAGTGGAAGAAAAAATCTATCATAGACAAATATTTAAACAATATTTAAGTAATAGAATTCTTCGTGATCCTAAACATCAAAAATTTGTTAAAATGAATAATATGCGTGAATTATTTACATTAAGTGATTGTAGTGAAACTGGTTTATATTTTTATGATTCAAAAGTTAAATTGAATCGTAAAAAAAATCAGGAAAAATTTAAAGAACTACAAAAACAATCCGCATCATCATCATCAAAAATAACTGAAAAATCTAAAGACAAAAAACTGCCAAAAATTCCAAAGAAAAATTGTGATAATTCAAATAAAAATAGCAATTCAGTTGAAACAAATGCTACAAATCTGATTGATTGGTCAAATGTTAAAATTGAAATTTCAGAAGAACGACGACGAGAACTTCGTGAACAAGTGAAAAAAATTTGTCAAAAACAATTTGAAACAAAATCCAATTCAACGAATATGAACGATGAATCATTATCATCACAATCACAATCAAGTTGTACAACATCAAGTGAAGTTGGTTGTTCATCAGAAAATTTCAATAGTTCATCATTATCGAAAAATAAATCCACTGATATACAATATGTAATTGATAATCGACCAAATGGTGTTAAAGTAAAAATATTGGGTGAAAAAAAGAAACAACAACAATCAAAAAATGTAGCTAAATTTGAAGGACATCAGATAAAATATCTGGTTAAAAAAGAAACATATAATGAAACAAAAGATAATGTTGAATCAGCTAAAATGATAAAATCAAATAAAAATGAAGATTATATTCTAAGTAAAATATTTGGACGATCAGTTGAAAGCATTCTACAACATGATCGAATTGAATATAATCCAATACCTGATCATTCACTTATAGAAAAAGAAGCAAAAGATTTAGCTAAACATGCTATTGAAAATCTTAAACAACAAATAACCATTCAAAATCAATCATCATCATCATCAACAACAACATCAACCAATAATAGATTATCGAATCTAATCAAACCTAGATTAAAACCATCATCATCATCATCATCATCGAATCAAGAAGATTTAAGCACTAACAGTATTTTAAAGGAAAAAGCAAACAAATTTATTGGTCAAAATAATAATTCAAAACATTTACAATTATCGGATAAATTTGATGAATATAAAACATTAGCAATGGATATTTATCAATTTTTACGTAATCATAATGATCGTGTTTGTACTGATATAATTGTTGAAGAATTTCGTCCAAAAATTCGTAATAATCAATCGGCTGCATTTCGAGAATTGTTAATTAATATGGCTATTTTAGAATCTGATATCATTGTCGATGAACAAAATAGTAGAAATGTTAACAAATATTGGAAATTAAAAGATGAATTTCGTTTGCCTTCAACATGAATTTTTTAAGCATAATTTTAATTTTTTTTTAATAAAAAGAAATATCTCTTTGATATTCATATTATATTTTTAATTTACAATTATTTTTTCTTTTAATGAATTCAAACTTTTAAAATTAAAAAAAAAATATTTTTCAAATGATTCTTGTTCATAATTCGATCAACAGACGGCGCTATTATTTGTGAATATATATATTTTTTTTTTCGTTCGAATAAAATGATTCGAATTTTGGTTCAATGAAATTCGAATCAAGATTTTTTTTAAAAAAATGGGATCGTTTGATCAAAGGTTTTTCATAAGTTTATTTCACAATTCTACATTTACTTTATTTATTGAAATTTAAGAATAGTAAACTTCCGAAATACATTTCAGTAGCTTGATATGAATATTTTTTTTTTTGAAAAAGAAGGAGAAAAAACAATAACAACAATAACAACATGGTTTTTTTTTGCTTTCAGAACATCAATTATACGGGAAAACTTAATCATGATATTATTATCATTAATTTATAAAATTCGAATGTAACATAATAACTGTATTATAATGATTATTATGATCATTATTATTATGTTAGTTACAAACATATTTATTAATCGACAATCATGATAATATGTACGCCTAGTATTTTTCTTTCTTCATCTAATTCGCATAACAAATTTATTTATCATCCAGTTAATTTAGATGATGATGATGATCTTATTTAGCATCTGATTTTGTATGAAATGATGTTGTTGTTTTTCGCTGTTTTTCTTCATTCATATTTGTATTCATTTCTGAATTTGCTTCGGTAAAACCAAAAAAAAAAAAAAAAAAAAAAAAAAACCAAAAAAAAAAAATTTGGCCAATTTAAA